CTTAGACAAATATATATATATATATATATATATATATATATATATATATATATATATATAAAAGTTAACAATATAGTACAATTTTCATGCTATATTTAATAATCATTAATTTATTTTCTAAAATTATGGGTAAATTTCTTAATTATAGATAAATTTTTGTTGAAAAATAAAAACATTACTTATCAATTGATTGATTGGTGATGATTCTTTTATTTATATGAAAAAATTATATATAATTTATTTATATAAATTTTATTTTAATATTTATATAGACTTAAAAAAAATTAATATCCTTTTTAAAAATAAAATCCTAGACAATCGTTACATGTTCAAAGCTGCCATCGTGTATAATAATATTTTTTCTTTTATCTCTCACTTCACAATTCACACACACAAGAACAACGAAATGACTATTTAAATGATCATTTTAATTAATTAATTAATATATTGTAATATGCTAGAAATATTATATATCTTAATGTTATAACTCGTATAGATATAACTTTTTTTTTCATTTTCCTTTTTCTATTCTTTTCACCTTCTTTTTCCATCAGTGAATTTCAATAGCAAAAGAAATTATATATTTAGTAATCTAATTATATTGTTATTATTTTAAATTTTAAATTCTTAAATTAAAAATCAATTTGTTTAAATATATTTCATTTATTAGTGTTAATATTTTTTCCCTACATAATCGCTTTCAAGTTTCAAGCCATTATTTTATAACAATGAAGTCACTAATTATTGAAGAAAATTTATTGAATGTACTTTTCTTTTATGAATGAAAAATTCACTTGAATGATTTTTTGCCTTAATCTGAGAATTTAATTTAATTTTCCACTTAAAAAATAATACACTATTATTTACACAAATTGATTGTAAATGAGAATTAAATTGAACCTAAATTCATTTTTTTACAAATAGAAAAATATTTAAAGTTATTATATATGGCTATTTGTCCCACATAAAAATTATTAAGTATTTGTGTAATATTGTTTTTAAGATTTTATTTTCATTATACTTTAATTTTTACACTTACCTTACACCATTTTATTTTCCTATTTTCTTTATATTTATTAGGTTATTTTTCATCTTTTCAATAAGAATAGAATTCGATACTAATGGATTTTACAATAACCTGTGCATTCTACTCAACAAGTTGAGCTAGATTTCATTTGTAAATTTTATTTTGTTTAAGATTTTTCTTTTTTATTTTTGTTCTCTAAACATCATTTTAATTTTTAATTTTTCTAAATTATAAAAAATATGTGCTTATATTGTGATATTTCTCTTGTCATAATTTTGGTTTGTCTTAACAATTAATGATTCTTGCTTTTGGATCATGAATAAGAAATTTGGATAAGTTGTGTTTTGTTGAAATGACATAATGCTCAAAATAATACTATCACTAAAACAAAATAAAAATACAAATGGTAACAAATCAATAGTCTAATAGAGGTAAAGGAAGTGGAAGAATTGGAACCAAAAAAAAGTAGGTGTTAATAACCATTAAATCATATAGGATTAATATTTTTGCATAATCTTGAAGTCTTTGAAAGGGTCATAGAATTAATACCAAGTCTTGTGATGGTAAATAGGTGAAAAAGAAAATATGATAAATTTAATATAAAAAAAAAAGTTGCTAGGAAAATGATAACTATAATGAGGATGTGGAAGTGTTTTTTTTTTTTTAGGTTTAGGGTCATACACAAGATAGGATTCGAACCCCTGACCTTGCTTAAGCGTGGATCAGCTCCTACTGCTGAACCTGTGGAAGTGTTTATTGAAAGCCAAAGAGACAATGGAATTAAGGTAAGATGTGGGAACCAATACTTGCACAAGAAAAAAAAATTCAATTATAAGATAACTAAGAAGTAATTATGAGTCGCAAAACAATTCTAATCAACCCATTATAAAATGAGTTGGGTAGGTTTGAATTTATTCTTAAAATGAGTTAAAAATTTCAATCCAATATGATCCTTAAGATTTTATTGAATTGATACATTATAATTTTAGAAAAATGAAAAAACGAATTATAAGAAAGTAATACATAGGTTGCCCACCAAACAAATAATGAGAAAAATCATAAATCATCTTAACACAATCATAATAACTATTAATTAGTTCATTAAAACATCCAAAATACTTAAAAAATCAAATACACCCACTAATTATCTTAAAATGCTAAAATAAAAAACATTAATTATTTAGCTCATCAATACCAACAATTCAACAATCACAAATAAGTCTAGATTATAACAAATACTATATCCTCTCAAAAGTCAATTAAATTGGTTGGGTCAATTCACAATCAACTCACCAAAATATAGATTAGATCATTAAAAAATTATGTAAGAATTTTAAATTCTATCTAATTACACACGTTTACTAAATTAAATAAATTAAATCAATTAAACCCATTTGACCATCCATATCAAGAATGGGAAATAAAAGTAGGAAAATAAAAAAATGGTAAAAATATTTTTTTTTAAGTTTAAGCTGGTTTTATAAAAATGTTTGGAAGAAAATATTTTTTAAAACTTAAGCAAGCATAGTTTTAACAATAATTTTATTTTTCACTTAAAATTGAAGAGAAAAATAAACAAATCATACAATTTTTTTTTAATTTCTTTTCCTCCAAAAATTGTATATACCTTTTTAAGGTTTGGGAATTTTTTTAAGTGAATAATTCAAACGAATAACTTTCATCTAATAATTTTCACCTTTTCTCTTTTACTTTTAACTACTTTTTCGTTCATTATCCGTAAACTCAAATAAATTTATTTGAACTAATTTATTGTCATTTAAGGATATATATACGTGTACATTCAAAACAAAATATATCTACATGTGTTCATGCAAATTTTCAAACAAAAACTTAATTACAAGTCACTCATTTTTTTATAATAAAATAATTTTACAACATTTTCCCCTAATTTTCTTACTTTTGTAAGACAAGTATCAAATAAAGTTTAATATTTTTAAGTAATTAAATATACTTTCTTTATAAAAATAATAAAAAATATAATATTATTGTGTAAGATATTCATCATGTCTAAAGAATAGTTGGCTTCAAATTCTTAAGAAGTATAATTCCTTTTTACGGAATTAAGCGTAGATGTCACGTAGATGCGTCTGGATGCCAAATTTCTTGAATACACCTGGAACCATAACGACCCGTTCTGGTTGCACTCTTGGTGTGTTAATTTTGTACCCGGAACGGGCCGTAAGTGACAAATAAAAATTATAACTTTTGTAATTTTACTCATATGATAAGATTTTAATTTTTATTTATTTGGTCAAAAAGCATTTTATTTTATTTTTTCAAATACACCCACATCATATACTGCCATGAAAGACAAATGAGACACGTCAAAATATTAAATCATTATCCTTGTTACTTGTTTGGTTTTAGTTGCAGAATTTTAAAATGGGGACCAAATTCAAGAAATAATGATAATAGGGGACAAGAAATGAAATTATGTATTTATTGAAACTACAAATATTACGCGTCACTTGAAAATGGAGGTGAAATTTAGTTTATAAATATCCATTTTTCTTAATCTATTAAAACACCTTTTATTGACAAAAGGTGAGATCCACAAATGTTAAAATAAACATTGTCTCACAAAACAAATGCTTTGAATTCAAAAGTAAATAAATATAAATATAAAAATAAAAACATTTTTATTGTAATTTTTTTGGATCATTTTGAATTAAGAGCATCTCCACCACGAATTGCTTGTGTTGTATATTACCATCAAGAATCGATGCTTCTAAACAATTTGTACTTGAATTTAATTATGTGATACATTGAATTGCTTGAAAATAATAAAAAAAAATATTTCTTTAGTTCAAGGTCTACTAACTAACATCACAAACAAACATTAAGAGAAAAATGATATTATCATATAAGAAGAGGAATCACATACCCAAACAAAAAAAAAATTGAAACTTGAACAAAAAAAGATCAAAACTCTAACCTTCAATAGATACAGTAATTTCAAAATACATCATAATAAAGTAAAATAACAACAATATAAAATATGGGAAAAAAATTGAAACTTGAAATGGAACCCAATACAAAATCTGGAAAAATAAAATTGAATATTGAAATTGAAAAAAATAAAAATTTGAGATAAAACTTGAAAACCCAAATCAACATATGGTACCATATATGCATTAGAAAGAAAGAGCATTAAACCCCAACAAAGAAATGGACTTGATCTACACATGGATCCAATGAAGTAAGAGGAAGGAAATGATCTCCGTGTGCAAGAAAATGATTTCTGTGTGATTCATGAAACACCCCAACGGAAAGGGGGAGGAGAAAGGGACTAGCTTAGAAATGAAAAGGTTTTTTGAGAAGGTTTGGGAGAGAAAGATTTTGGGGTTGGGGAAGGAAAAAAAGATAAATATTAAAACTATAAGAGTGAAAGTAAAAAATCAAAATAAATAAAACAACTTGATACCAATTTCAAAAGAAAGGAGTCATTGATATCATTTATCAATCCTTAGTTTGATAATAAAATTAATATTTAATTACAATAATTAAAATATTTTTTAAATTGTAAAAAAATAATGTTTAAATAAAAAATTATAAAAGTGTGGATTAATTATAAGAATTATCTATTAGAGAAAAACTTGTAAAATATAATATAAATTGATTAAAAATGATGTGATATAGTAAATTTTATTTAAAGTGAAATAAAAACCTTAAAAAATTCTGAGTTATATTTAAGGTTAAATTATTTTTTCTTTTTTTTTATTTGATTGGTTATTTTGACTATAAATTTTAAAAATAATGTAATATTATTATTTTCATCTGATTTATACTAACAATGTTAATTTTTTACATGTGACACAAATAAAATAGGAGGATTCAAACAACACCGGTGTAACTTTTACTAAGTATTACACCGCTTAATAACTTTATATTAAATGTGAATTTTGTAAATCCAACCGTTAGATTGAAAGTTCATATCTCTTAGATCATATATATCAAATTTTATATTAATCTAAGATGATTTGATACGTCATTCTCATAAAACAAAATTGATGTAATATATACATTTCAAAATATATTAAAATATGAACACTTTGATTACCTTCAAGTTGTTGTTCAATTTTAACAAAATTTGACATATATTATCTAAGAGATATGAACTTTCCATCTAACGGTTGGATTTACAAAATTCACATTTAATATAAAGTTATTGAGCGGTGTAACACTTAGTAAAAGTTACACCAGTGTCGTTATAAAAACCATACACGTGTCATAAAGTAAATAATGAATTAAAACTTTTAGTTAGTCTAAATAGAATAGAAAATATAATTTTGTATCGTTTTTTAAAATTAAAGACTAAATTAATCTTTTTAACAGTAAAAAAATTAAACTAAACCAATTAAAAAGTTGAGCCAATTAAATAATTAAAAGAGGGATAAAAAGTATTGTAATATATATTTAAGTCCCTTATAATATTTTTTTGTTTCAATTTAGTCCCACTTTAATTTTTGGTTTCAATTTGGTTCCCAATAATTTAAATTATTGCAATTTGGGACTTCCGTCAAAATGATTTAAACGGAGTTAACTGTTGGCCACGTGGATGTCAGGTGCATGCCACGTAGATGTCACGTAGATGCGTCTGGATGCCAAATTTCTTGAATACACCTGGAACCATAACGACCCGTTCTGGTTGCACTCTTGGTGTGTTAATTTTGTACCCGGAACGGGCCGTTCCAAATGCAAAATTAACACATCAATAGTGTAACCAGAAAGTCTATTTATATTTACTTCGTTCAATTTAAAATTTTTAATTTATATATTGATCTGCAAATTTTTAAAAAATTTGAAAATTATTTAATATTTCGTTTTATAAAATTTTTTATGATTATCCGTTAATTTGAATTAATGAAATGAAGTATCAAATAATTTTTAAATTTTTTAAAAATTTATATATTTATTCTATGTATTAAAAATTTTAAATTAAACGATTAAATTGTTAAAATTTGATATAAAACATGAATTATTAAACAGAATAAGTCTAATTAAATTTACTCGTAGAATAAAAGAATCTTTCGTGTGTGTGTATATATAAGTGTTTCTTAGTACAGTTACAAAATTCAATTATGATGTGATATCTCATTCGCAGGCCCTCAGCAGCAAACGAAGGACAGTGCCCGACTCTCCTAAAACATTATGAACACACAACACAAGTGCAATAGTGACCCAAAAATTCAACATGGTTTAGAAAATAATGCTTCTGGTTGATGACATTTCCTGGCTAGGCAACGCATTGTCGTTTATATCTTTTATAGGGATGCCTATAAATGGAGGTGCCGTGTATGCTTCTTTCTTTCTACAATTTCTAACTACGAATCATATTCATAGGGACATCACAAATAATCACATAACTCCTTCTGTTCCAATTTCCAAGCTTTAAAGGCAAACAAAGCAAAACAAACAAACGGGGTTTTAGAAATGGAATCATAAGATCTAAACTGGGAAAGGAAAATGAAAGCATGGTTTTTAAGTTTGAGGTGACTCACCGAGTCGTGACTCGTTAGCTTTTTAATAAGATTTTCATGTGTCAAGTTGAGGATTTTTTTCAAGGTTTTTAAAAACAAACCATTGTTTGACTCAAAAAGCAGAGAAGAGTGGGGACTGGAGAATAGGGAGTGATGGCCAAGTAGATCTGAAAGGTGGTGAAAATCCAGTAGGTAGTGCCCAAATTTTTCTACTTTGAATCAAAGGGTCATCAAATGCTTTAACGATTTGGTGTTTCTGGCTTCAGACACCGTCACAAAATGCCACACCCTTCTTTCCACAAGCTTCTTCTACCCTCTACTCTCCAACCCAACCAACTGGTACCTAAATTTTCTCTTATTCTTACCACTTTTTGTGTTTTTTTTTTGTTTCTTCATACACCTTCACAAAATTCCACACCCTTCTTTCCACAAGCTTCTTCTACCCTCTACTCTCCAACCCAACCAACTTGTACCTTAATTTTCTCTTATTCCTTCCCCCTTTTGTGTTTTTTTTTTGTTACTTTTGGGAGTGGCTATTGTTGGGTTTGTGAGAAATTTGAGTCAAAATGAAAGAAAGGGGTGAATAATGTTTATGGGTCTTGCTTTTTCTTCACTTACACCACCCCCAACTCCTAAACTTTGTCACCTCTTTCATCGAGTTGGATTTTTTAATCCATCTGAAGTGTGAGTACTAATTTCTATTTGTACTTGTTTGTTCTGTTAGGGTTGGGGGGAAAACTACATGGTTTGTCTAATAAGCTCTTTTTTTTTTGTTAAAAAAAAAAAAACTGTTTCAAGTGGAGTTATGAGCTCTGAACCAAAAGTTCTGGGTTATGTTACGTTTATTTCATTTCATGACTGTCTTGCTTTGAATTTTTTACTGCAGAAGACTGGTTGAGTGGTTCTGAAGGAAAATCAGAAAATTTCTTTTGGGGGTCAAGGTCTTAGGATTTTAGAAGAGACACTTTGTTGTGTTGCCTCACCTGAAACTAGTCCAGTACTTGAAGTCAAAAAAGTGTGGTTGGTTAATTGTGTCCTTTTTCAACAGTGTGCTCACACATAAGTGAAAAAGACACCCGTAAAATTGCCAGACTTCTTTTTTGTTTTCTTGAAATTAGACTTTATTGAATGAATATTGAGTTGATGGGGTTCTTCAGCAGAAAAATAAGGCTTTAACTAGGGGGTAATTCTGAGAAATTGTATGCTTATTATATATAAGTATTTGGTGCTTCGTTTTAGAAATCTAATCTCTTTACTGAACACAACAGATTTCTTTTGCTACTGGTTCTAGTAAATACCAAGCATTTATCATGCATTGGAACAGTGTTTTTTCCCTGTATCCTCTCAAACTCGTTTTAATGTACACATGCAATTTTATTTTGGAGGAAATTTTCAAGTATCTGTCAACATACATTAGAACTGATGGAGGAAGCACTTGAACCTGAAGCGAAGCCATAACTAAAGTTTCAATTATAAGTTGGCTTACTTAAAAGTTGAACTTCTTACAAGAATTAGTCTAGTTTTGGATTTTGATCGAACTAAAAATGCAAGATAATCACTGTCAGAGTTTTGCAGACATGTCAAACCATGTTTCTTCTTGGTGATGAGCATTGGGCACTTGGAGTTTATAACATCATTATGGCTGCAGTCTTGTATTACAAACAGGTATCAATATTTGGAATCTAACTTGATTTATGAATTGCAGAGGCTTCCAGATAATTTTATGAGAAAATATGGTGGCGAAATTTCTCCAATTGTTACCCTCTCAGTTCCTGATGGTAGTGTCTGGCGTGTGGGATTGAAAAAGGCAGACAACAAATATTGGTTCATTGATGGTTGGCAAGAATTCATTCAACGTTATGCCATTGGTGTTGGATACTTGTTGGTATTCGGATTTGAAGGAAAGTCATCTTTCAATGTTCGTATTTTCAATTTGGCCACGTCTGAGATAAACTATCAATCAGCCACGCGAAGCAGTAATGAAGGGCCCTACTTCGCAAATCGTGTCAAGATTTTTGAAGAAATGGAAGATGAAGATTCCATTGAAATCTTGGATTCATCTCCTTCACATCTTGCTTCACAAAATAAAGCTCTTGCTGGATCAGTAGATAAAATGACACCTGGAAAGAGTTATACACCAGCATTGCAGAATCTGTTCAATGGATCAAAACTTAATAGCATAAACTGGGGAGAGGGTGGGAATGCCCATTCTTTGAGAAGCGCCAGTGATAATAGGATGACCAGAGATATTGGAGTTCAGTTTAATGCAGTTGAGTTTAAAAGATCCACTGAAGAATTGAAATTGCGTGCTTCCATCGAGGAAAGGATTAAAAAAACTGCAAGAAAGAAGCGGAAATCAGGTCTTAGTAATCTCTTTTAACTTAGTTTTCTTTGAATGACATGGTTATCTATAAATTGAGTTTTATGATCAATACAATTTGTGGAAGTGCAGAAGGCCAGGACCCCTCTGCCGAACATGAAGAAGAGGTAGAAATGCGCTTTAGATTCTATGAAAGTGCTTCTGCAAGAAAAAGAACTGCGACAGCCGAAGAAAGAGAAAGGGCCATCAATATGGCAAAAGCATTTGAACCACCTAATCCTTTCTGTCGGGTTGTCTTGCGGCCCTCCTATTTATACAGGGGATGTATAATGGTGAGCCCTTGAATTTGACATGATAAATATAAAATCTGTTTAGATACTAGCTAAAAATGTTTTTGAAAGCTTTTATATTGAAAATAAAAAGTTTTTTCTAGTAAATAAGCTCTTAATAACGCTTCTAAGTTTGTATCTAAACAAACTTATATACGTTTTCAAGTCTATTTGGATACAGACTATTAATATTTTTTTAGTGTTTTTCTACTATAAAAAAAAACTTTCAGAAGTTCTTTGTATCCAAACAAACTTTAACATTCTTCTCTAATAGTTGAACTTGCATACTATGAACTCATCTTTGTGTTTTTCCAGTATTTACCATCCTGCTTTGCAGAAAAGCATTTGAATGGAGTTTCAGGGTTTATCAAACTTCAGATCTCTACCGGACGACAGTGGCCGGTTCGCTGCCTTTATAGAGGAGGTAGAGCCAAGTTAAGCCAGGGGTGGTTTGAATTTTCCTTGGAGAACAATTTAGGGGAAGGTGATGTCTGTGTGTTTGAGCTTCTTAGAATGAAAGAAGTAGTGCTTCAAGTTACTGTTTTTCGCATTACTGAGGATGTGGGATTGTTGAGCCCTCCTTTGCAGCAGAACCAAAACATGAACACACCTAAATTGTTGAACAATCCCTTGCAGCAACACCTCACTTCCACTAAACTGATTAGAAATTAGCAGCAGGTTCATTCCTGGTGCTCAACTGTATCAAATAACCCCTTGCTTCTGTGTGGAACTTAGATGCTTTTTTCTGTCCAACATTTCAGGGTGACTTAAGTGGAACGTAGTTGTTATAGTTTTGATACCCTTTTTTGTTTTCACCTCTCTAGACTTGGGTTGTAAATAGATTGTTCAATCTAGCTCATTAGAAACTCAGTCAATATGCTTGTCCCATAGTATTGCTGCTTATCTTGGTTTATTTATTTATTTATTTGCTGTTTGAAGTTGAATTGTATAGCTTCTTCTGCTTGACAACTTGATTCACTGTTTTTGTTGATTGCTGGAAATAAGTTTTGACTAATTGCCTTTTACATTCTTCTTTTTTCTATTATATGGATGGATGGATATTAGGCAACATTAACAATAGGTTTTCTTCCTTGTTATTTTTTTCATAAAATAATTATTTCACTGTAACATTATCTTTTGAAGGTCATCACTTTTGTATTTTTGGTTTCCATATGTTCCATAACAGTAGAAAATCCACTTTTTGGGATGCAAAAGAAGTAATTCACTTTCAGGTTTTTCTCTTTTAGATCAATATATTGGCATTTTGGCACTCTGAATTGTTTCCTTTTAATTCTAATTAAATTATAGATTCAGTGTATACATGTAAATAATCAAGGTCACAATAAAAAGAGTATTTAATGGAAAGTAGTTTTTATATTAGTTATTTTGGTCTATGAATAACAGAAGATAGTTTGAAAAAAATGTATTTAAAGACAGTTAATGAATTTTGTAAATAATTAGCTGGGGCAGCTCATGATATCTCTTACGTGGTTCATGAAAATAAGTAAAGCAAATTCAACATTTTACATGATTGATGATTTAACAATGGACCCCATAAATAGTGGGTGCAGATATTCTAAAGTACAATGGTAAAGTAGCAAAATAATTAGTTTATGTAACGCGTTGACTTCAGAATTTGTTACACTTAATTAATTCTTTATATATACTTGATCAATTTTTATGATTAGTTATCTAATTATATAAAAAAATACTAGAATTTTAACCTGTTGAATGCATTTTTTTTTTGGTGTTGGATGCATATGTTTATTTAATATATAACTAAAACTTATAATAAATTATGTACATAAATATAATATTTGAATATATAATTTATATTTAAAATTTATGTAAATAAATATTTTTAAATATATAAATTAAATTTTAGATTTATGATAAATAATTTATATTATAGCACAATATTTTTATTTATAATTTATTTCAAAATATTAAAATTTAA